TAATGCAGCCGATTGCTATAGCTTATACAACTTTGCCTAATTAATAATCCCAACACAGAATTGTGATATGGGAAAGGCGTAGGCTTTCTTATAATTCACATGTGCCCTGTGATCCAAGGGCACCCGTGGCAGTGTGGTGTAGTGGTTAACGTGTCAAGATTATACGTTACCCTATCACAACCCGGGTTCGAGTCCCACCGAGGATGCTGATGTGACCAGTTCAGGCGAAGTCAAAAATGCCGTCTACTCCTGCCTGTATGAAAATATCTTTTGGGAAGCAAATTTGTGTGAAATGCTATGGAAATATGAGGCAAATTAAACTACCAGTCATTCATCACCTTAAACAAAATATGGTGGATGCAACTCTTGTTAGACATACTGGGAATCTCTAAAAACTACTTATGAAACGAAAAAAGGATGTGCATGCCCAAGCTCGATGTCTAGCCAACGGCCACGAAAGCCATGGGGTTTCTGGGTCAGTCCGTTCGTCTACATGCACCAGCAGCAGGCAAGTTCCCGATGGAACATCAATTATCCTTCTTTATTAAAGGATCGCTGAAACTATGAGGAATCAAAAAGAATGGTTCATACTAGAATATAAACTAAAAACTAATTATGTATATATAATTAGTGATTATTAATAATTAATATAATTTTCGAATGCAATTTTGCCATTCTATTAAGGCAATTAAAGTTGCCTAAACAGCGGTGCGCAATGAGGGACCTGCTAAGTTTTTAGCGATTAAAATGGAATCCACCCACGGAGAGGAGATCATTGTGATCTTACATTTTGCTTCAAAATGTCAGCCTTCTCAAGGGCACAGAATCTGCTAATTCATGCAAAAATGTCGATGTAAACTTAGCGGATCTTGAATCTTCTGTGAATTGGCAGCTAATCGTTGAAACATGCCTTAATAGGAGTAATCGTAAAGGGCATAGAAAAAAGATGAAGAGCAAAATAATAAAGTTAAAAAAGAAAAAATGAGAGGCTGGAGTAATGAAGATAGCACTAATACAGCGGCTGGGTGACCTGAAGAGGTTAAATATCGCAATCCACCAGGGATTTCAAGCACCAAGGGATGTGCAATTTCGTTATTCTTAAAAATCTGCGTAGAAAACGAGCTGGAAAATCTAACATAAACAATCATCTAAAAGCATTTGAACTGAGGAGGCTGTGAAATGCGATATATTATTACTTTAGAATCCCAGCACCTATATGGTTGGATCTGGTTCAAAAATACGATAAACGAGGCATGAATAATTAAACCAAAATGAGCTAGAAGTTACTTCATCTTCGTGGCCCCACTTTGAATAGTCCGATATAGAACATATTTTAGTAAAAAAAAACAAAGGATATCAGATGAAGGTAATATAGAAGGGCGAATAATTATTAAATATTCTCTTATTTTTAGTATTTTGCAATTTTAACATTTGTCATATGATTGCAACTTCAGCTTAAAGACGATCTAAGATACCACGAATATACGATATCATCATTATTGCAGTGAATTATAGTTCTGCATGTAAATATGTAGTATATCATGTTAATTAATTTAGTCGTTAAATAAGTTTTCATAATGGATAGCAGCGACAATAAGAGGCATTTTCACAATACCAACCTCGGTATACATGTTTGTGATAATATAGGAAAAAGAAAGGAATAGTTCTATCATGCTGTCAGAAAGAACCCACAACAGCTGTTTGTCTAAATTATTTCCCCGTTGTGCCTAAATGCAGGCTGGATGTGGCAGGGTAAAGAAAGTTTCGAAAACATGGAGTTAAAGGTATTATATGAGCATATATGTAATAATATCATAGTATAAATTTGATTATAGACAATTCCTTCATTAGTATTTTTCAAAGAAATATAGGCTCTGGTCATTCCCGATGTATTTCAATTTCAACTTCCGTCTGCAGAGTAAAATTTCTTTGATTCGAAGGGCAATAAATGCTGATATTTTATACTTGCATTCTATTTTAGAGGACTAAGGAAATTAATTAGCTGATATAAGTGCTGTATTCATCCTATTTCGTCTGAGCTGATGAAGGACTAGTAGTTGGATTTTCTCACATGATATGATTAGCTTCCTATCTCCATTGACTTTCACGTGGACTTGTCTCCTAAAAGATAATCTCATCCAGGGTAGACTGCAGTTTTGGCCTCGCCTAGGTCTCATCAACAGCCCCAGCTGGACTCGCACTCATGTAGTAGTGGTGCCATGTCTATTCCCGACACGCCAATTACTACGCCACTCTGCCACAATCAGCTTTGGGCAGCAAGACAGAAATTAATTTCAAGAAAGCTTAGGCCTTATCCATGGCAGTGTGGTGTACTGCTCAACGTGTCGAGATCATACATTGCATTATCTGGGTTAGAGACCCGCTAAAGGGGTGCTGAAAAGAGCTAGGCGAAATCGAAACTTAATTCCAGCCTGGATGAGGATACCATTTGGGAAGCAAATGGTATATTCATAGCATTGTTGGAAAAGCCAACCACCAGCCTTTCATTCTCTTAGACGAAATATGGTGAATAACGCTATCATATCAAATATCCTTGTAGTCTCTAAATCATAGTTATAAACTGAAAATAAACTATCTACCGAGCTGTCTAAAGGAGGGCCAAAATGACGGTTTAGCAAAGTATCCTCACGAAATGCAAAAGAAAAGAGTAGGAAACACAGTAAATATGTGCATCCTCTTCAAAACAATAGACTGTAAATTTTCAACTTCTGCATAATCTCACTGGCATCTTTTGTCATGGCAGTTTGAAGCTTTCTGTCGAAGAGCTGTGTTCACTCTAGGTTTTCTCGAGACACCTGATTCTAAAAGTCTTAGGCAAAACAGCTTCAAAATATCAGATACACCTTTTTATCATAATCACAAGATTCTCGCTTCTAAACAAATTCTGCGCAGAGCTATTTGGCACTTTGCCTGCCCCCTCACCCTTCGGTCCTTTCAGTTCCAGACTGACTGGAGAGTGTTTCGCCTCGCCCCTCAGCATAGCTTACCGGAGTCAAATGCCGGTCTGGATTCGAGTCCTGAATAGACGGTGGCTGAACTAGTCCACTGCACCCCATTTGACTGTTCCAGATGTCGACTCCTCGAAGAGTCCAGGCAAGAGCCAGTGATGCTGTGAGTCATCTGCTCATCCCCGGAGAGCATTAGGTTCGTATGACCACGAGTGGCCAGCACGTCGGGAGAATGGAATGGAGGTGGAATCGAGTCAGGTGAGTAGACAGCCCCACTAATAGAGAGATGCTGACTGAGACCTGGTAGGCATGGAGCAAAAGAGGTATAATGAAATATGTATTAAGTGTGATTAAACTTCTTTGTTTGTGCATAGTGAATAGCATTAGTAGTGGAAGAATGACAAACGATATTGGTAAAAGGAGAAATAACGCCCATCACGAAGATCATTAGGCATGGAGTACTATTAGGAGTTCTGCTGCCCAGATGCTTCGTGAAAAGCTCAACTGTTTCCCTCCAGATAAGTCATAAAAAGCACTGAAAGAACTGAGAGATCGGCCTTGCCAGAACCTGAAGGCTGAAAGGTGAAAATTTGCTGAGCATTTATTTTGATAGGTCTTCGTTGTAACAGCCTGCGTCCTCAGAACACGTCCATAGCTCCGGTTGAAATCGTACCGAATCGTGGCAAACATCCTCAGAGAAATACAGCAATTTGGTCGTCTTTAGAAGAATACTTATTTGATAATACTGACCGGCTTGAAGAGCAGTTAAACCTTGATTTGATCAAGATAAAGCATAATTTGATTTTAATAAATGATTGTCTCCTCGTGAGCATGACTCTTGTCCTGTGAATTATGTCTGCCAATTTGTGTGAGCAGGTGTTTGTGCACATTGAGTAGGTGGAAAGGGCCAGACACTAGCCACTTGAGAATCTGTTTAAAGCACTCGAAATTTAACTACATCAACTAGGAAAATTATACTAGCGCATATATCACAACTCGAGGAAATAAAATTATGTGAATCGGGCCGTATCAGGTCAGTACGAAAAGTAATTTGTTTTCGATGCTGCCGAACAGATTTCCGTTTTGTGTAAAAGTATGACACAAGCATTAGAGGAGAAATCTCAACGGCTAAGTTCCAAATGTCTAATGATGGTTGATTTCTCACCGACGTCCAGGCTAGTGCAGAACTAGAGGGACTGGCAGTCGCTTCCAGCAAAAGCTTGCCGAGCCTATGTCTGTCAATTGACAAGCAACATCATAGATAGATACGAAAACTAGTTCAATAAATCACTATTTATTTATTTATTTATAGCGGATGAACTTACTCAATATATGAATAGTGACAAGGTCTGATGATGTCGGTCAAATGAGAGAACTCAGCCCACCAGTATCAGAAACGAGAGAGAGTGCATCGAGAAAATCAATAAACACACTAAGAGTAACCCACAACCGTCTTACTTATTGAGAGATTGCT